TCTGAAAGCAAGAATGAAGTGTCTTTTGAGGAGCCATGGAAATCTTGGCTGGGGACAGTGTTAGCTCTTCTCACTGCCACATAGCATATGGTACTCAGATGAAGAAACACAAAGGGAAAAGCCCCCAGCAAGCACAAGTTTTGTTCTTAAAGGGTTGGCCTCCTAGGAAAGTGATTTGGGGACATCTGTGCCCCCACTGTGTCTTCCCAGGCCCTTAGGCTGGCATTGGACCTGGGCAGTGGAGGGCAGATGAAGGGTGCATTGCAGACCTCACAACCTCTAGGCAAAATGCACCAGCTGGTTCCAGCTTCCAGGGGAATGCTCTCCTGCCACCTCATTGAGAGAGTGAAGGAGGAAAGAAAAAAAAAAAAAAAAAAGAATTGATGCCATATGAGGTGACATGAGAGTTTGCAGCAGGAAATCGGAATCCAACACCACATCTAATGATGTTATTAGAGGCTCTTGGCAGAGCAAAGAAAATTGAGCACTAATGAAAATCAGGTACAGAGAAAACTTAGCATGGCCCCGTTATGCATTCCCTTTGAGACACCGAGAGCACAATTTGCAAGCTAAGCTGAATTTACCATTGAAATAGGACTTGTGTGCATATGTGCAAAATTGACAGCTGTTTAAGTAATGCAGCGGAGAAACTAAGTTTGAAAGAAATTGTAAGTCATCCCCCACCCCCAGCTTTCTTGTTTTCTTGGCCTTTGTTGGCTGTCTCCTTCATCCAGGATGTACCCAAGTAGGAACAGAGGTGACAGTCTCTGTGGCTGCAGCTCAGGGTTTGGGGTAGGAGTGATGAAGAACATTTGTCACTGTGGAGTTGGTGTACCCCAATTCCTTGCCTTAGAGTTTGAACTCTTTATTGCCTTGTTCTCTTTGCACAGTGAGTGAATGTCTACTAAAAGATGAGAGCACACACTTGAGTGACTGTGTTGATCCAGGGTAACTATATAGATCAGGTTTTGCCTTCTCTGTTTGTTGCCCTGGAAACAAACAATTACACTACTGAGATCTTCTGCCTGTCCATCTTCCCTCCTTCTAGTAGTCATATAGCTCTGTGGGAGCTGGGACAGTCATTGAAACTCTGTCACTTTCATGATGGTAATAGGCCTTAGCATTATTTATTTGACATCTATCTGAGTCAGTGCCCATGCTGAAATCTAACATTTAGACATAAGTGTTTATATCTGGTGGGAATTTAGGTTCTAGGGCAGCTGTACAGGTTGCCATATTGTATATATTCTACTTACTTGCTAAGCTGTAAACAAATTTCAGAATTAATTCAAAGAGACTCCCCATGTCCTCCAGGTTGATGTTCACATGTCCCTTAATCATGATAGCTGCCCTGAGCACTTGATATGAAACCATATCTCCCCAGTGCCTTTACTTCTGCCCAGTGCCATCACCACTTGTTCCTTCTCCCACAACATGTCCACGCCACGAGAGCAAGAACCTTTTGGCCTGGGTTTTATTTACTGCATCATTTTCAGTAGCTCTTACAGAGTGGGAACTATACTGTGATCCCAGAAGAAATCCAAGGACTAAAAGTCAAGAATAGTTAAGAGCCTGCTGAAACAGCATTGTTGCTGAATGACTTCCTTCCTAGGAGAAAGCCAGGCATCTTTTCATTTGTAACAACCGAAAAAGCAAAGTACTAAGCAAGCAGCGTCAGTTTTGTATAGCAAAGAAATGTGTGCAGCAAGTACCCAGCCCCTTCTCAGAGTTGGGCGCAGATGTGAACCTCATATCTGCTGTGGCTGTTTCGATGCCTCACGCTTTCATGACACCATGTGGAACTCTCCAGAACATTTGCTTTCCATGCTTGCTAGCCTCACAGTAATAGGGGGTGTGGGTCTGATTCTAATTTTGATGGCAGCAAGGTACAAGCAAAGCAGAAGGCAAGGGGGTGGATGATCTGGGGGGGGCAGCGCGTGCCAGAGTTTGGGTAGAGACGGACTGAGGGGGGTATGCCCGATATCTCAGAACACATACTGCCTCTATTCCTCACTAGCCATTTGCTAAGATGTGGGCTTCATTTTACTTTACAGTCCTGTCAGTAGAACTATTTAAAAATGGGAGGGGGGTGGAAACCCAATGTACATCTAGAAATATGGTCTGTCCATATTAAAGAAATTGTTCTGATCATTTCTGCCTGCTTGCTGCACGAATTACTTGCTGTTTCACATGGCAGTGAAGGAAATGTCCCTGCTTGCTCGCTGGTCTTTGTAAACAGTTTTCATTCTATAGGTGTGGTCAGAGTGACCCGTGTGCCCACATGTGGCAGGAATTCAGAGATTGCCTACAATGGCAATTTAATAAGCAGAATATAGGGGCCACTAAGAAGCTGTGGGGTTTTGGTTACTATTTTATCTGAGTATCCCGCCAAACTATGAAGCACTATTCCTGATTGTTAGGGCATTTTGGTAGCAAATACATTAAAAAGCTTGTCATGAAAAATTAGCCATTGTGCTTAGGCCCAAAGTTTTAGCCCTGTGCTAAACTGTCAATATCTTGTTGGAATGCTGGGGCAACTGGATAGGTCCTTTCACTTATTAGTGTCCTTACTAGGAGCTTGATGAGTCTTGTCTCTTCCTCCTGCCCTCTGGGGAAAGGAACTGCTTATGGAAGGCACCACACTGGTGTAGTTTGCTGAATATTTTGTGTATGTGTGTTGTTCAGGTGGATGGATGTACATGTGTGTGCAGATGTGTATACACATGTCTGCTGTGCATGTGGAGGTGAAAGATCATTCTCTAGGTGCCATCAACCCTTCTTTTCTGAAGTAAAGGAAAGTCTGAAGCTCATTAATAGGCTAGCCTGTCTAGCCAACAAACCCCAAGAATCTTCCTGTCTGTGTCTCTTAAGTGCTGCTGTTGTAAATATACACCACCACAACCAGATTTTATTTTTATTTTTAGAGCAATCTTATTTTTCATATCCTCCATCCTCCCACTCCCCCCACCATCTCCCCATCCCACCCCGATCCCATGGGGAATCATCAAAGTCTGTCACATCATTTGGGGGCAGAATCAAGGCTCTCTGCCCTGTATCTAGGCTGAGAGAGTATCTCTCCATGAGGAATGGGCTCCAAAAAGCCAGTTCATGCACTAGAGATAAATATTGGTTCACTGCAGTGGGCCCATAGACTGCCCAAGCCCTGCCCCCAACCCTCATCCATGCTCAGGGAGCCTAGGTTAGCCTTATGCAGGTTCTCCAGCTGTCAGTCTGGAGTCAGTGAGCTCCCACTTGCTCAGGTCAACTGTTTCTGTGGGTTTCCTCTACATGGTCTTGACCCCTTTGCTCACATCATCACTCCTTCCTCTCTACACCTGGACTCCAGGAGTTCAACCCAGTGCTTAGCTGTGGATCTCTGCATCTGCTTCCATGAGCTACTGGATAAAGGCTCTGTGATGGCATTCAAGGTAGTTATTAATCTGATTAGGGAAGGGCACTTAAGGTACCCTCTCCACTTTTGCTTAGATTCTTGGCTTAGATTCAAGGTGTCTCTTCCTTTCTCACCCTCTCTGTCTTTCCCCCAACTCAAACTTCCTGATCCCTCACGTTCCCCTTCCCTTCTCCTTTTCCCCTCCTCACTCCCTTACCTTCCTCCCTCCACACCCCCCTTCTCAATTTACTCAGGAGATCTTGTCTATTCCACAACTAGATTTTTAATGTGAGTTCCAAGGACCAAACACTTAGTTTCCCTGATTGCAGGACAAGTGTTTTACTGACTGAGCCATTTCTCCAGTCCCTCTTTACTGAATCTTTATGAAGGAGTATCAGATGCTAACTTCCCATATTATAATCTGGGAATTATAATCTGGCTTCTCTCACATTATAGATCTTTAGATCCCTTTCCTATGCCTCTGGCCTCAAGTTAAAAAGAAAGGGACACATTAAACACTAGATCACACAGCTAGCAAGTGCTAGTATGAGGGCTAGACTCCTGAAGAACACACTCTCTCCATTACCATGGCTGATGCTGCCAGGCCATTATTGTGCAGGCAAATATTGCTTCCATGAAGGTTTGTCTAGCCTGGTAAGAATACCTGGGTAAGCGTAACACTCTACTTCTTTGGAAGGCACTGTCATGTCATCTATCAATGATATGTCCTTCTAGATGTTACAGTCTTCTCATCTGTTTTGTTTTCATCCACCAAATGATGGCGTTTGTAAACAGAAGCTACCAAACATACCCTTAGTTTACCGAAGTGAAAATCTTACTGCCCTAGGGAGTGATGTAGTGTGGCAAGGCAGCAAGGTTCTCATTCCCCAGTAGGGGTTCTACTGAGCAGACTCCCAAGATAGCTTGTGTTCACTTGGGATGGGCCATCTGGGAAATGGCTCAGTTGCATCCCAAGATGACAGTGGTCAAAATGCTGCCATACTGCTTTGACTATGAGTGGTCTTCACTCATGGGCAGTTTAGCAGAGCCCTGATTTCACAAGAGACATTTAAAAACCACAATTGACTGAACTTCCTTTTAGCTCTATACAGTGGCTTTTCTAGAGCAGAGGGAAGGCTTGAATTACCAGCAGGTGTGACTTTCACCTGTGTAGGATGTGCAAGAGTTGAACTTGGGGATATCCTAATTTTGGTGTAATTCAGGCCACAACTTTCCTGAAAAATGCCCCCTCCCCTGTCATTAAGAGAATGAAAGCTCAAATTTTGGAACTTGCTGTATCTGGATTTGAAACTTAACGTTCTGTAGATTTTAAAGCCTGTATCAGTAAAGTGGAGTAGAGACCTTCCCTTCCCAGTCATCATGGGTGTGACTCTTGGGAAGCCCTACTATTTTTCATGGTATTTCTTTTTCTTTCTATGGGGATGGAGGGTAGTGGGGGTCGGTAGTAAAAGTATCCATATGATCTACAGGTCAGATAGAATCCAGCTGTGCCCTCTTTACTCCTATTTGTTCCTCTACTTAGCCTACAGGAGACCTCTGTTACCTCAGCCCAGGAAATCACTAATCACGAGCTTCATTTATGTTGCAGTGCCAACAATATGCCCAAGCAGGTGGAAGTTCGCATGCACGATAGCCACCTCAGCTCTGAGGAGCCCAAGCACAGAAACCTGGGTCTGCGCATGTGCGACAAGCTGGGAAAGAACCTCCTGCTCTCACTGACGGTGTTTGGTAGGTGCCCGAGGTCTCTCCTCCCCTTACTCATGAGGTCACCCCATCCCTTTTTTCCTGAGCCACCCCAGTCCCTTCTCCTGGCTCTCCTGATTTGTGGGGGTGCTAGCACCCCAGAGAGTGCTCCTTCAGGAAAGGAAGCCTTGTGTCCCTTCACGGCCCTATTAGGCACTGCTGCCTCCTTGGCAAAATCTGCTCCTAAACTAACTCTAGCCATCTGCTCTTCTCTGGAATCTGGGGTTCTCAGTAACAGGTGCATATATTTCCCGTGAGTGTGAACATGCCGGTTCCCAGCCACGTTATGTTTTGAGCTGCAGGGAGAGGGTCCAAGGAATCTGCAATGCTGCAAATCTTGCAGCAGTCAGGCAGTAGGTCACATTTAGAGAGAATCTTGCATCAAGATAAGGGCCAGGAAACCCCACTAAAAGGGACCACAAGATCAGGCCTTTGCCAGAAGCATTGTTGACTTTGATTAACTGATAAAGTTGAGGAGGGGAGCATGGAAGAGGCCCATTCTGATGCTCAGGTATGTTCCTAGGCACCTTGGAGACTTGCCTCCCTACTTCATGCCTCAGTCTGGGATGATTCTTTGGTCTGAGCTGTCAATACAATATCAGTCTTGGGTTTTCTACAGGTTGTATCGAAAACAGAGTAAATGGCAGTTTCTTGTAATGACACCCACAGTTTCTCTTCTCAATTCTCTCCTTGCTCTTCGGCTCTCACTTAGGATACACCGAGATACAACTAAAGTTCACCCTCCCACATTCTTGCTATCATTCACACCCACCCATTCACCCATCCACTGTTTCATCTCAGCCGCCGGTGGACTAGAATCAAAACTGGGGATTGCCTGAGTTCACTTAGAAACGGGGAACCACAGACATGCCTGGGTTTTTTAAGAACATCCACTATGTAATCAAATCTCTTTCATCATAGGACTTTTTCTTTTTTAAACCTGTAGAGCCAGGGTAAAGGTCTGTCCTTCCACTGTGCCCTCCCCCCAAATCCCTAGCATTAACTCCATGACCCATGTGACTGGTAGCTCCTTCCCTATCACCAAGGGGACTGTGGCCTGGATTGTAGGTTTTGCTTTTGTGGCTTATGTTGGTCACCCATTTTCAATAGTCCTAAGCCTTTTCTTGCAGAATGTAGGATTCTGTGAGACAAACAACATCTCTACCAGCATCTTGGCTCAACTTGGCTCCTCCCAGATTATGGACCATTGGCTCTCTGCACTGCCCTGTGCCTCTGACCTCCAGTTAAAAGGAACACACACACTAAACAGAAGATCCCATGGCCAGATCTGGCTGAGAGAAGAAAAGATACTGCCTTCTGGGAGTTTGTTCTTCTGAAAATTTGTGGTGCTGTGTGCAATCAATACCTCAAAAGCTTTTGGAGTCTAGTCTTTATTTTTCCCTGTGGAGTGTTAAAAATGTTCTCTTGGCTCCTCTAGTGTCTAAATGGTTGGAATTGTTACAGAAAGGTATCTTGCTAGCTGTCAAAAATCAGTTTCCCTTATGTAATGTCTTTATTTTGTGGTACTCAAGACAGACACAAGACAAAGATGATAATCGGTGATAGGTGACCTTGGAGCTACTCATTTGACTAGGGTCAAAGCTGGGTTCTGATTTCTCCTTTCTCTTCTTGAACAGGTGTTATCCTGGGGGCGGTATGTGGCGGGCTGCTTCGTTTGGCATCTCCCATCCACCCTGATGTGGTCATGTTGATAGCCTTCCCAGGGGACATACTCATGAGGATGCTGAAGATGCTCATCCTCCCTCTCATCATCTCCAGTTTAATCACAGGTGAGGGCGCCTTCCTGTAGCCTTCCCAAAGTGCAACATAGCCCTGCCCTGGCTTTTGGGTTCGAAGTAGAATTTCTATTTGGCTAAGTCAGTGAATGTGACTGTACCATTCTATTTCTGAGCTTTGTCCTGTGTCTAAGATAAACTGGTCCTAAAAAAGAAAAAAAAGAAAAGAAAAAAAGAAAGAAGAAAAGAAAACAAAATACCATCTGTCATTCACTCTGCCTTTCCTTCTAATATCCAAAGATACAAAGGAATAGCTAGCTATGTATTCAAAGTGATGATATCTTGTTATTTCATTTTTTTAGTATTTTCAAAAGGTGTGTTTTATTCAGAAACTGGTATAGGAACTGAAAATGTACACTGCCTTTATTATTCACTTAAGCAGATGGGAAGATATGAATTGAAAAGAGATTAAATGCTAGGCATAAAAGCTGAGGGCATTTTTAAAAGAATTATAGCCTTAATATGTGATAACATGCTTTCTTATACTTTGGGCTAAGAGAATTAATGAATTTGAGTCTTTCCTATGTTTGAACTCATATTGCTAATTTTCTTCTTATCAGACAATATTATTGAAACAGGGTATGATGTATTGCTTAGTGACTACTTTGGAGTTAAGAGTGGGAGATGCCAAGCTGGTTCGTAGCTGGGTGCCAATGAGCTGGGTGACTCTGAGCACTGTCCTGTGCACTGACCCCCTTGTGGAAAAGGGACTCAGAAACTCCAGCTGACTCAGGTGTTGGGCCAATTGCCCCACAGCCTCACATCAGAAACACTGGGTTTAAGATTCAAGTGTCAGGGACCCCGTGAGTTTGCCATCACTGAACCCTGGGTTGAGTGACTGCACTTCTCTCCAAACCAGATAAAATGTTCTCCTGGCCTGTTTAGCAGATCTCCTGCAGGCCAGGATTAGACTTTGGGTTGGAGAGAGAAGTGGGTCATAAGTGGGTCAGATTGATTCAGAGAAATTCACACCAACTTCCTCCGCAGATCCCCAGAAAGGGCTCTAATCTCTTTGTTAAGCAAAGGTAGGAACTGAAACCAGGAAGTGGGCACACTGCAAAAAAACATCTGGAGAAAAAACCCACGGGAGGCTGAGGTCTGTATGACTTAACTTGGAGTTTCCTCTCACCTCCCTCCGTGCAGATGCTGCACATGCTGCTGGCAGCAGCTTCTTACACATGTTCTCTGACAGCCACATGAGGTTAGACATGAGGACTGCCATGTTTCAACACAGATGGGCAGGCCATGCGGACTCTCCATTTAAGTCTCTAATAATGTATTCTAAAGACGTTTGAGCATGACCTCCATGTCCTAGCTTTGGATTCTCCTAAATAAGGACAATAACTAGTAATAGTAAGGTCACAAAAATGGAGAGGACATTATCTTGGAATTAAAAATGGAAAACTCTTGAATGTTATTTTCACATATGTGATAGTGACTGATGGTATGTAAATCATACAACCATTTGTAAACTATGAGCCAATTGTCAACAACTCTCCCCAGCTTTCAAAAATCTCAAGAAGTTCTGGGTGGCGGTGGCACATGTCTTTAATCCCAGCATGTGGGAGGCAGCGGCAGGTGGATCTCTGTTAATTAAAAGCCAGTCTTGTCTACAGAGCAAAGTCCTAGGGATACACAGGGCAAAAAACACCATCCACTTTTTAAATATTTACGCATTTGATTATGAAAAATCTGTCATTATGTATTCAGTGATCACTGGAGTTTTGAGCCTCCTTATGGGAGTCCATCTTGCCAGAACAAATCTCAAAAAAAAAAATCTCAAAAAATATCTTTAGACAATAGAAATGTGAAATGTAGAAATGGTTATATATTTATTAGGAAAAGTGTTAGCTGACCACTAATGTATCTGAAAGATAGGAAACCAGGGGTTGCAGTTATGTAGAGATGAGGACATGGGTAGAAAATTACAGAACTGATCTTTCCTTATTTCTTTTAACCCAGGGCTGTCAGGCCTGGATGCTAAAGCCAGTGGCCGCCTTGGCACAAGAGCCATGGTGTATTACATGTCCACAACCATCATTGCTGCTGTGCTGGGGGTCATCCTGGTGTTGGCCATTCACCCAGGCAATCCCAAACTCAAGAAGCAGCTGGGGCCTGGGAAGAAAAATGACGAGGTGTCTAGCCTGGATGCCTTCCTGGATCTCATTAGAAATCTCTTCCCGGAGAACCTGGTGCAGGCCTGTTTCCAACAGGTAACCCAAAGACCCCAGTGTCATCTCTGACCAATCTCCCACCTAATTCTCGAGAGCATAGAGACAGTTTCAACTCCAAATAGCAATTTTCTTAATATTTATTTATCCCTGCCTGGCCCAAGTGTTGTGCAAAGTGCTCTGGGGAATGATCCTAGGGTTGGAGTCAGATTGGTTGATTTCTGGAATTATTGTTGCCTGACCCCTTAATATTTTGTCACTCTGAGACTCACCTTTTCCTGTTTTTTTTTTTTTTTTTTTTTTTGTTTTGTTTTTTTGTTCCCGTCTATGAGCACATTTTTTCCAGTCTTGTTCACAACCTTCAAACTACCCAATGGTTTGACACTCTCTCAAAGCTTTATGTAGTAAATAAGATACTGATTTAATCCAGCCTACAAAATGAGAGTCTGTAATGTATCCTCAAGATGAAACAGGGGATTGACAATAAATTTTTAATTGTGAAAACAGCATGCATCTATAATCCTAGTTCTGGTGAGGCAAAGACAGGAGGATCCCTGGTGTTTTCTAACCAGACAGTGTAATTGAATCTGCAAGTTCCTAGTTCACTGGGAGACTTTGTCTCAAAACATAAGAGATAAGAGGGAGAAAGACCATGGTGGGCTCTGATATCAACCATTGGCCTCCCCATGCACTTTAAACACACACACACACACACACACACACACACACACACACACACAGAGTTTTAAAAATAGATAATTCTCCTGAGACCGAGCCACTAGCCCAAGCTACACTCTCTGCCATGTTTTATTTCTACAGGGTCAGCTTAAGTTGGCCTACATCATAGTCCCCATTAACTCATGAAAGACTAACCTGGAGCCCGTGTGTCTCCTTTAGCCCTTCTTAGGGAGCTACTGAAGAATGACACGGCAGCTTAGAAGAAGGATCTGGATTTCCAGCCCTCAGTGCAGTACCAGCTCCCACTGAGCCCACATCACACTAGGATGGGTTTCTCTGATCTTGAAATGTCATTTGATAAAGAAATGATGAACATTTAAAATGGGAGATCTACTCATCACCTCGATTTGATCATTATTAGTGTCTGCATGTATGAAAATATGCCATATATATGTATTCATGTATGGAAATCTTCCATTACACACCATAAATATGTATAATTAAGTCAATGTGGCCTCATGTTAAAGAACACCATTCTAGACAGGGAAAGTAGGATGTAGAATGAACAGAAGCTGGAGAAAGGAATCTTATTAAAGTTTTCTCTTTATCTGCTTGCTAGCCTCACCTACGAGGATGAAGTTGCTTGCTTTGGAGGGGTAAATATAAGTGGCTGCCAAGTCTATTTTGAACAGTTTGAAATGTGTGTATTGGATCCTAGGAAATTGGCTAAGAAAGAACAGGTGGGGAGTGATGAAAGATCGGACAGATCTGATCTCCTCCCTGTGCCTGGTCACACCTCAGATACCTTCAGTTCAGCCTGGAAAATGAGACCAGAAAGCCCAGGGACTTGGAGTTACTGCTCTGATCTTGTTGGATTCAGCTTCTGTAGTGTTGGCCATATTCACATTTGGGGTCTTCCCTGGATAGTGATGGTCTTTACCCCCACTGCAAAGGGTGCTGTCAGGACTCTAGGGAATAGAAGACTATATCAGTATCTATCCTCCCCTGCCATGATCCTTAGGAACACAGCTTTGGTTCCCCCAACTAAGGCCAGGGGGTCAAGATCCCTTTGAGTTGGGGAAATGTGAGGAATAATAGTGTACAGTCCTCTACCTTAAGGTGAAAATGGGTGTAGATCCTCACTCTGGCTCCAAGGGCCTTGACCAGAGGGAACCATTCTTACAGAGTAACACATCATTGACAGAGATGGAGGAGGACGGGTGTCACTAGAGTCCTTTCTGGGTCCCTGTGGTCTGGAAGGAAGTGTTTTAAAATTGCCTGTGTCGAGTGAAGGGGGATTCCTGACCAGAATTAGAAACAGATGTAAAGAGGAAGGGGAACTATTCCTAGACTAGATTGGAGGCAGCTTTCAGCATCCTGGCTTGCTCCAGCAAGACCCTGTATGGGTAAAAGCAAGGCATCCTCTTGCCTGTGACTTAGGGATGGCTGAGAGGACATAAGCTTCCACATGATTCCTGTAACATGTAGGAAGGCAGAACGCCTTATTCTAAGGAAGACAGAGTCAGGGGAATGGCTGGTTTCCCATAGAAAAATAACCAGCATGACAGTTATGGGTATAGACAAAGCTACAGTCACTGAAGGTGGAAGTCTTGTAGAAAGAAAGGTGTGGAGGTGAATTAGTAGACATTTGTGAGTTTTCAGTTAAGGGGTTCTGGTAAATTGGACTCAGGTACTACGGTAGGTACTCAGATGATCCAACCACAATAGGCTCTGTGAGACCTCAGACAGAAGACCTGACCATTGTGCTAGTGTCCCTGTCTCCTCAGGTTCAACTGAAACCCCTTCCTGTGCTGTTTGGAACCTAGATTTTTAGAGTCATATTGAATCTGGATTTACTGACTAACAAAAAGTCAGGCCTCGGGTTAGTTATAGGACATATTACACACAAAGCCATTGACTCCCTGCCTCCCGCCTAATCCTGGCTCTCACCATTTACCGAGGTCCATGATGACCAATTCAGATTAATCCAAGCTTTGGCATCTTTACCACTCTTAAGATGAGTCAACACCTTTGCTGCTCAGAGCCTGGCAGCTGCATCCAGAAGGGTCCCATCTGGTCACCTCTGTGTTCTCTCTTCATGCTGCTTTTGCCCAGAGCTTGATTCATCCTCTCCTTGTGTAGCCAGTCATGGGTCTCCTCTTACCCTGCACAAATGCATAAGGCCAAATTAACATGGGAGACCCCTGCCTCCTTCTATAGAAGCCTGCCCATCCCTCTCTCCTGCGCTTGTTGTCTCAGTTCCGCATTGCTAACTGTCAAACTCAGCCACAGAAGGATCAAGTCAGCATAACTTAGCATATGGAACAGGTGATGGGAAGAGCTCAATGGTGGTCAGGCCATCTGAGTTCAAGTGTTAGTTCTGCCAGTAAGTATGACGTCTGAAAAGTCAGTTGACTTCTCCATGCTTCCTAGTCTATATCTATTCAAGGTTCAGCCATCTGTCACCTTCTATGCGCCAGCACCCACATTCTAGGATTTTGAATGATTTCTATTTTAATGCCCTTGAAGGTGGTATTTTTTTTTTGAGGCTAAGATGTGAATTTCTGCATGCAGGATGCCTGACACTTTTAAAATTAGAACCACTTCCATGGATGTCGAGGAATAGCCTGAGAGATGCTTGTGGGTTATTAGGCAAGGGCTAGCTGGCTTCGCTGCCTAAAGAACGGGATGTTTTCCCACCTTACATAAGAATCACATGATTCCAGAAAGATGCCTATGTGTAGCTGTCACCGTTGGTGTTCAGATTCCATCAGTGCCTGGCTTTGGAAGGACCCAAGGCCTAGGACAGGCTTCTGGTAACTCTGTGCAGCAGAAGGTATATCTAGCTGGGTATCACAGTTTAGAATAACATCAAAGTTGGGCATATGGCATCATTCCCCAACCAGAGGAGTTATCATGGGGAGGAAAAAGGGACACATATCCCCTGTTTCAGCAAATGCACTGCTCAGGGTGCTTAGGGTATGAATAAATTTCCTAAGCTTTGTAATAATCTTGTCAGTGGGACAGTTTCACCCTACTGCAAATGCAATGAGACAACATGCTGTTGAGCACAAACATAAACTAATTCCCATTTTTAGTAGCTTCATTTTGTCATTATGTAGTTTACATCCTGGGAACCTTGAAATATATGGTTGGCTGGGTTGTTGTTGACCTTTTAGGTCACACCTCATCTATATACTTTCTCTTTCATGATCAATTAGATTCAGACAGTGACAAAGAAAGTCCTGGTGGCACCTCAGGCGGAGGAGACCAACACAACCAAGGCGGTCATCTCCATGTTGAATGAGACCATGAACGAGGTCCCTGAAGAAACCAAGATTGTTATAAAGAAGGGCCTGGAGTTCAAAGACGGGATGAATGTCTTAGGTAGGCAATCGATCACCTCTGTTCCTGCAGTGATCAGCCTTTCAAAACTACCTTCTTTACTCAGTTCTTATTTTTCCATGCTTTCTTCTAAGAAAAAACAAAACAAAACAAAACAACCCCCCCCCAAAAAACAAAACAAAACATAAAACCAAGATTCAATAACTTTGCTGGCCTCTCTGGCCTCTAGATGGCGCAGGAGGCTCTCTCTGGGGAACAATATGAGGGTCAATGAGATTGAAAGCTGAGCCATAAAGGAAGGGGGATAGAAGGATGGGCAGAAGGGAGACCCCAAAGAGACATGGCAGCCAGAGACCAGGGATGGGAAAAGAGAAAGGGGCTGACATTTTTCGGGTACATTCCTTGACTCTGTCTAATGTTGTCAGGTCACTTTATATAACTAACCATTTTAGGAAATAAGATATCCTTATCTTTCATTTATTAAGCTTTTTTTTTTTCCAGATGTCACTGTATAGGAGCACATAGCTGGTCGCCCCATTCCAGCTTCTGATCTATAATAAATGCCAGTATTGACCAGCATTAGTTGGGGAACAAAGGGGTACTGTAGAGCATCATGTTTAATGTTCTAAGATTTCAGGGACCTCTCTTCTCAAGTTTGGTGCCTTCTCCCCACTCCATCCAGTGGTTTTCTTCAGCTGGACAGATGTGGGTTATGGGACCACTCACTGGTTGTCTACACCTGGGCAAGTTGTGCCACTTCTCTGAGTCTCAGCAGGAAAGTTGAAATGGGATTGGCATGGGTTTGGTAGACTGACCGTTGTAACTATGAAATGAGGCTGTGCTTATAAAGCACACTAGCACATGCCCTGAGTTGTGTTCAGACAAGCTCTGATCGTTATTAAAAGTAGACGAAGAACCAAGGAGGAACTCAACCAGAAAGCATCTCACATAGTGCGGGGGTGAGGTTTCCCTCATGGGACGGGCTCCAAATTTGCCCAGTTTTACTACCCACCCAACTATCTTAGGGTTTCAGCGTGGGCCCACACATCTCAAATTTCACCACTAGCCAATATTATCATGTCAAGAAAAGGGGGTGTTTGTCCATAAGATGGAAAGAATTGGAAAAATATGAATTTGTAAGCAAGATCTTCCAAGCAATGTTTCTAAGGACTCAGGTGAGAACGCCTGTCCTTTTGTCATCTCAGAGATCAAGTACTCTTGCCTCCTTGGACTGTTATCAGATAAACTTGAATTTTAGGTCAACGACAAATAACATTTATTTAGCATAAGTTTGTCCCAAGTGCCTGTGCTATTCTAAAACTAAGGGGAAAAAAAAAAGAGTTCATATGTATCTGGAATTCAGACTGTGACTGGGAGTCATGTTTGATTGGTTATTCTGTGCTTGGTGGTCCTTCTCCGTGAACATCCATACTGTAGAGAGGGAGGGGGAGGAGCAGGCAGCCCTATGACTGCAGGGCTGAAGCCTATTTTTTTTTGGACAGGAAGAAAGCAGGTTGGATAAGCTATGTGAGGGTGAGGGAGGAAATAAGCCCAGTGGGTTGCCAGGCAACACGGGATCAGTAAACACAGGTGACAATCAGGGAGAGGTAGAGGTGGTTGGAGGAAGGAGGAGGAAGTGTGAGAGTCCCTTTGAGAAGGAGGCTTTGCCCTATGCCAGCAGACTCTTTCTCCACTGCAAAGATATCTACAGCTCTTTTGGGTTCATCTCAGCTCCCCTGGCCCCTTCTGGTGGGTTTAGATCCCACCTCTGGAAACCCCACTTCTCCAGAAGGCTGATACTTTGGAGTAAATCATTCAGGCAGTCCTAACCTTTTCCAGAGTCTTGATGAGTTCTAGAAAGTCATGTGACCTTTGGCTGTGCCTGGGAGTTTCGAAACACTGGCAACTCGCTCAACCCCAACGACCAGTCTGAGAGGGCTTTGTTCAAATGAAACACCCCTGTTCCAGTGAGCAATTTCAATTAGGCAATGTTTACCCAGGGAAATGGCAGGCTGAATCTGGTGTTCCATCCAAGTACATGGAGAGGCATTGTGAAGCCAAGGGAAGTTAGATTGTTGAGAAACTTCCCATTTGCCAATGACAGCTGAAATAAGGTTCTTTCCATGGCCTTGCTATGGTAGAGTTAGTAGCTTTGGTTTTTGCTTTGTTTTTCTGTATTTCTGCTCTTTGATTTTTGGAAAGTCCCAAGGACTAAGCATTACAATACAGGAAGATACAGCCCAGTTTTCTACTTCTTCAAGCACACGTTTTTTTCCCCCTAGGAAACCTAGAGAGCTATAGTGTGTGGTGTGGCACACCCGTGATTCCAGCACTTAGAAGGCTGAGACAGAAGGATGATCAAAGACCAACTTGAGTACAAATCAAGACCAGTCTCAAACACCAGCTAACTAGACGAACTTTCAAACCAATGCTTGATCCCCACCTTAACTCCAATTGCTTAAACCAGTGTCAACTGCTCCTTTAAAAACATTTTTTTTTGTTTCGTTTTTTTTTTTTTTTTTTTTTATAAATTCATAGATTCTCAAGTGTCTACCATCTCTGAGGGGAGTCTTCATTCTAATTCTTTGGGACCTTAAGACCTTGTACACAGGGAACTGGAATTGATATGTAAAATAAGATTGTGTCTAATTTAAATAAAAGTGTGTTTTTAAAAAGACCTCATACACCATCAAATAGTGTTAACTGAGCACTAATTGCACTTCTCAGCCTGAATTTTCACAGATGGAGTCTTTGTCATCACACCCAACAAACTGCCCTCCACAGTTTCAGAGAAGGGTGGAGGAAGAGCTGGGACCCAACTTTCCATGTTATCGGAAATTAGTTCATTCTACCCCACATCTAGTCTTCACTGAGCCCCATCTTCATTGGGTCAGTAACTCAGTTGTGAAGTCACCAGTCAATCCCTCGGGTCAAGACCTAAGGAGGAGAGATATTTAATTCCAAATATTAGCAATCTAAATACCAGAGAGATGGGATCCTACCAAGCATTGTTAATTAGGCTGATGAACGTTTGGTGTAGAAAAGGGTGGCTATGGGGGCTCAGGGGAAAAAATGGGTAAATAAAGTCAGAGGCTCAGGGAGAAGGAATTTTTGTCTAAGAGAATCAAATTACAATGCTGTGGTGTACCTGATAGAAGCCAAATTCAGGCACAACTGGATATAACAAGGAAAGACTGGAAATGAGGTCTGCTAATCTGAGGCAGGGTGTAAGGTAGGGAAGTGGATGGGGAGGGAAGAATTGGAAGATGGCCAGTTCTTCAGAATCAGAGAATAAGCCAAATGGACAAGCAGGGTTCTGTAGCTGGAGCATAACTGTGTCTTACACTCTATGTATGCAGTCAGGGTTAGGTCACCAAGACTGCGGAAGATTGCAGTTGAAAATCTGGTCATAGATAGTCCCCAGGCAGTGCTGGGACTACTGTTAGCCACAGAGTGTGCCCAGTCCTGGGTGTGTTGAGGTGAGGTACTGGGGGTGAGGTGGAGGGTAGGGGGCAGTGAATCTCTGGCAAGAGACACCAGGCTTAGTTTCTGAGGAACTGAAAAACAAGGGAGGGTCACCAGGTCCTTAGACAGTTGATGAGGCAAAAGACCTGGGGTTGAGGGTGGGATTCTCTTCAGGATATAGTGAAATGAGGCTGCCTTCAACATGGTGGAGAGTGAGCTCCCAGCCCTTCCTGCCTTGGGTTAGGGTCGAGCCTGGAGGCTGGTGTGTGATTGAATGAGGATGTTAAGATAGAAAAGATGGCTGAGAGGGTAGGAATTGGCAACAATCTAATAATTAGTTGCACCTTCTGGCTTTATTTTCCTGAAAAAGATTAAGAAAAGAAAAGCATGACAAGTTGAATTTTAAAGTTTGGATTTCTTGTTTCCTGTTTCGTCACTCTTCTTCCTTCCGCATTTGCTTTGTAGCTGGAGGGTAGTCCCAGAGTGAAGTGTACCTGCCTTTTGTTATCTCAGAACAACACCAGAATAGCCTAGACATTTTTCCAGGGAGGGCTTTATGGACTAGCTAGTCTCTGCTGTTCCAATAGTGGCTCCAAAGTTTGCAGGACAATCCCTGAGTCCCTCTCGGTTTTAATCTGTGTGATAATTGGAGCCGTTCACACATGATTTGCTAAGTGAGGAGGAAGATAAGGCTGCACCTTTCATTTTGGAATAAAAATGACTTCATTTTCTTCAAGGAATTCACACCTGAGCTGCTTAGTGTTTAGCCTGCACACGTGAAAAAAAAAAAAAAAAGTAAAGGAAAGCAAACAATTATAGGACAGACAGGAGAGTGGCTTTCAGCATGGAATGTGATGCTTTTTCTCTTCTAAGTGCTAATTTATCCAAGAGTGATAGGCAGGCAGAACTGCCCCTATAGTTGGTAGTGCTGAAGAGTGAGGGAAAATAGCACTCACTTTGTCAATGGTCCTGAGTAATGCCATTTGTCCCCAGGTCTCATAGGGTTCTTCATTGCTTTTGGCATTGCCATGGGGAAGATGGGCGAGCAGGCCAAACTGATGGTGGAGTTCTTCAACATCCTGAATGAGATCGTAATGAAGTTAGTGATCATGATTATGTGGTAAGTTTACTTCGTCTGACATCATTGTAATGGTGCCATATAAAGCCTTGGTGTCCCTGGAGGACAGTGGAGTCCCAGCATATGAAAAGAATAGGTGTGGAGCAGTGGGTGGTGCCGAAAGGAAGTGGAAATTCTCCTCCTTTCCCTCTTGCTTCCCTCTCCCCACAAAGGTGACTATTGGCCCAAATCTAACGTGTCACCTAATTCTGTTTGTCCTTTGACTCGAGAATGGATTTTATCATTTCTCATGTTCATCCCAGCTCAGGCTCCTGTAATGAAGTGGTGTATACTAAATAAGTAACTTTCTTACTCCAGATATTTCTATGGAAGCCTGAAATCAAGGTGTCTGAATGATCAATGGCTACCACATTCATCTGAGTTATGAAAGAAACAGCTCAGGGGAAAAAGAGGGAAAGAACATCCCGGTCCCTTTTCTAGATCATAGTTTTAGTCTGTTTCTGCTGCTATAACAATATATGGCATGCTAACTAAAATTAAAAACAAAGGAATTTTTAAAAAATCACAGGTTGGGAGACTGGGAAGTAAAATTGGTCATTAGCAGACTTGGTATCTGGTAAGGTGCCAGTCCTTGCAGATGATTCTTTGTGTGTCCCTCATGTGGTGGAAGAATGAGTAGGCTTCAGGAAGGTTCTTCTATTAAAACACTAATCTCTTTTAAGAGGGCTCACCTTCAAGTGGCCCATCTCCTAAAGCACTGTTCTGAGGTTATGACCCAACACATAGGAACAGACCGTTCAAACTTTAGTAGACACCACCAGTCTCATTCATCAGGGTGTGGTCTAATCTCCTCTAAAAGCCTCACTTCTACATATCCAGTATTAGGACTTCAAAATTTTAAATGGGGGGAGGAGCAATATATTTAGTTTATCAAAATGGCTAATAAAATAAAAGAAAAAGAAAATCAATAGGATAATAACATTCCATGACTTGAGAATTAAAAGAAATACACATTATCTCCACAGAACCAAGTGTGGTGATGTGTTTGTGGTTGATTCTCGTTATAACTCTAGGAATGAGGGGCCAACTGGAGGCTCTGAGGTTTCAATTCAGTGAGATAACCAAAATACTAGTTTTGACATGTTCACTTCATCACCGCATTGAACTTTTAAAATAAAAAGGGATGCTGGTAAAATGCAGTGTTCCCTTCTGTAACGATCCTGGGTTTTCAGCTCTTCGGGAGATGCTACATGTTGGAGTATTTATTTTGTATAAGCTAGCTTAGGATTCTGTGTCCTTTAGGCCCACCTGAGTCTTCAATTGGTTTGGTAGATAATGAGCCAAAGCAGCACCAGCCTTTTGCTTGAACAGTATTTCAAGTCCTTGTTGCCTAGAATTTCCAGCAGTATGCGCATCCTTCACAGTAAAGATGCAGATGACATGAGTAAAGATGCAGTAAAGATGCAGATGGCTTTCCTTCCTTCACACCCCTATCATTTCTACAGTCCTTGGAGGAAATTAGATTCTTCAAGGAAAGCTGAGGAAGCTTTGGAATGGAGAGTGTGGATTAGGAATTTCCCACCTGGTGAAACCTTCACCCCTAAACATTTAGCACCTTGTCCTGGGTTTAAATAGGGCTGTGAGTCAGGCCTACAGAAGGTTCCTTACAGGTTCTGTTACCTCACCCAGGAAGGTAAATAGGTGTTTATGACTGAAGGTCCATTCCTATCATCCTTTAGGTACCTTATGACCATCACCATTTGATAACATGAAGCCTGTGGGAAGGTTCAGGGTAAAATGTAGCACTGTTAGCCGACCCCTCAAAGCAGAAATCATTGTCTTAGTCGGGGTTTCTGTTGCTGTGACAAAGCACCTTGACCAAAGAGCACATTGGGAAGGAAAGAGTTTATTTGGCTTACACTTCAGCATTGCTATTCATAACTTAAGGAAGCCAGGACAGGAACTCAAAACAGGGCAGGATCCTGGAAGCAGGAGCTGATGCAGAGGCCAAGGAAGGGACCTTCTTACTGGCTTGCTTCCCATGCCTTGCTCAACCCAACTTCATATAGAAGCCAGGACCATCTACCCAGGGACAGCACTATCCACCATGGGCTGGTCCCTCCCCCATTGGTCACTGATTGAGAAAATGCCTTACAGCTGGATCAGGTGGAGGCATTTCGTCAACTGAGGCTCCTTCCTCTGATGACTCTAGCTTGTATCAAGTTGACAACCAGTCAGTACAATCATATTCTTTATGTTGTGGTAAGAATGGTAAAAAGATTGAGATTTAGCATTGTGAAGATAATATAATTTGTATTGTTAGTTTCATTTTTTAAAAAATTATTTTGAAATAGGCTGTCATGTAGCCCAAGCTAACTAAAACTTTCTGTGTAGTCATGAAAGACCTTGACTTGATCCTCCCTCTGAGCATTGGTATGCACCTCCATGCCTAGCTTAAAAATTATGATCATTAAAATGTAAATTGGAATGATTTTTATATTGCCATGTGCTTAACTTCAATTATTATATTATTAAATTAACTCATTTATTAAAGGAACTATTATCATTAGATCATAACTAAGACCTACCAATTTTTTTCAGTATGCTTGGTATTAATTTGTTAACTTTCCATGATCACATTTTTTATTCCAATAATACCTAACAAAATAGATGCTTTCAGAAGCCCGTTTTCCAGATGACCACACTAAGGTTGAGTTGCCCAGGGTTGCAAAGCTGTATTGCCCTAACTCAGTTTCTTTCAGAGTTCCAAGTAGATGAAACCTAAGAACTTCTGGCTACAAGCTATGTGACCTTAAGCAAGTTAGACACATTTGAATCCTAATATTCTGATTAGTAAGAGAAAATAATTATAAAGTCCATGTCATGAAGTTGCTTCAATAATTAGGTGAAATGGTGACCCCAGTCATTAAAACTGTTTTGTTCCCAGAAGGACCACAGCATTTCTGTGAATAGGCCTATGTGTGTTACTTTGTTTTGACCATTATCACCACCAATCCAACCCTTATTCCTGCATCCCCTGCATCTTAGGTGTATATAATTCTTTACGAAGTCTGAAAACCCCATGGTTTTATTGAAAGTTCTATAACCTCATTTTTTGAAAATTCTTTAAATTTTTTTTTATAAACTGTGAAAAACTCAATAGGAAGCAAAACTTCCCATAGTCTTTCTCTACCAGAAAAAGAGGTATCTGCCCTTTCTTTGTTTCTAACACTTGATTCCACCATCCATACTGTTAAAGGAAGAAACATTCACCGGAGCTTGTTAAAGTTGTGAAGGACAGCTTTCTTCAGGGCTGCCTCAAAGGGGATAGGGGCCTCAGCAATATGCTTTTACAGTGATGGAGAGGGACTAGGCTCAGAGCCCAACATACTGGAATGTGGGAATTTATAAGCAATGGGGTGAAGGCATCCCAATAGTCAGAGAGATTCTGCTAAGGACATAGCAGAATTCTTGTTGATGTCAGGCCAGGTTGACCAGATATTGCTTAGGAGATGGTAGACCATGATGAACCTGATCAGAGGATGGGGATGCTTTGCTAAGCTGACTCAGTGGAGTTCTTTATTGAAGCAGTGTTGTAAAGGAAGGAGGAAAATGGAGCCTAAAATGGAGGGACCTAACTAAAGTTGAGTAAAGCAAAGAATCATTTTCAATCCATTTGCTCTTTCACTCAATAAGTAATGCCTTCTAAACTGACAGTGATGTGGTATAATGATGACTGTCACAGAGGGTTCTGGCTTTCATGGGCCTCCCATGCTAGTGAAAGAAGGGAAAGGAAGACAGACAAAAGGAGACAGATATGAATTCAGTCAGTGATACAGACAACAAAAGCAGGGTGTGGGGAAGATAGGAGAGAAGTAGCGTCCAAGTGGCCAGGGTGAGCTGTGTAGGAGCAAGGCATGGTACAGACCTGACAGCAAGGTGAACCAAGAGGAGGGTCCTGAGGAGAGGAAGCAGATGGGGAGGCTTTTGAGGATCAGAACAAAGAGCTGGAGCCACTGGAGTGAGAGTGGTTGAAATGGAGAGAGGTGTAAAGGTGGAGAGACAGGCTGGAGTCAGAGCATCCAAGGCTCTGTGTGTCACTCATGGGTTAGATTTCATTGATTTGTGGCAGGAAGCTTGGGGGGATAGTGACCTTGTAAATAGGACACAGAGCTGAGAATACAACCCACCTATGGGTTTCATGGAAACATTCCCTACTTCTATCCCAATGACTATGTCCTGTATTGGAAATGGATCCAAGAACTACTTGGCTTCAGAACTGTTGGGTGGAGCCTTAAGTCTCCATTTGTACTTAAGTACAAATTATGGTCTTGTTTGTTTCAGCTCAAGAGTTTTGGTAGCCTTGGACTTTGGGCATTTCCCCCTTTTTGTTCCATGGAATCTCATCTCCAATGAGCTCATTCATTAATAAGGAAGCCCAGGAATACAGCTCAAGTCAGGTGTAGGAACGTAACAGCTTAAGTCCAAGGGCAAAGGCTCTTTCATAACCCATTAATACTCATCCAGTTAGGGGTGGGCAAGTGCTTGGAGGAGCAAAGGTGCCTACATTCCATATTCCCCCACTCTTATGCTTCCCCTCGTTGCATTTGGTTAATATTCTCTATCTACAATGGGAGTTGGTGCCAACCCCCACTGCCCAAACCCCCGCCCTTGACTCTTGCTAGTCCATTTGGCTCTGGCTCAAATGTACTGCCCCTGGGGAACTTTGAAGCTGGTCTTTCCTTGGCAAAATGCCTTGAAAACATGTTTCCTCCATTCTACAAATTACTTGATCTATGGAGAGGAGTGGGGGATGACAGAGAATTGAACAGCATCCTAAATAGCTCATATCTAGGTTTCTGTGGACAGCTTTAAAGGGTGATTGGTGTTTGGAAAAGAATTGACCTCTTGTTTTATGAAGATAAACCCTTCGGGGCATCATAGGAAGGCATTCTGTTCTGTTATTTACAGTCTCAACGACAAAGTGCTGACCCCTGGGCTCCATAGCTGATTTATGAGAAGTGACAATGGGCAGACTAAAAGACTATCAAATGGCAAGAAACATGAGGGTTAAATGACATGACAGAAGGCTTGTTTTCACACGCCTATTAATGTCTCAACGTGGCCGGCCTGCACCTCAGGGGAAAGCAAGTGAGGATCAGGCTGGAAGCTCCACAGAGAAGAGCAGAGCCACACTAATGTGCTGTTCTGTTGCTGGTACATACAAATGGGCTCTTTCTGAACAAGGTTTGCTCAAAAGACTATACTGCTACTGGGTAGCCTGTGAGATGCTTTAGGAAGGCTCATTAACTCAATTTGGATAAAAATGCATGGATCAGGAGAGGATTTGGTGCCCAGGTTTGTGCAAACAGAAGTTGTGAAATTCTTTCAAGAGTAAGGAATCAAATTGAGGAGAACAGGTATGAATTCAGCAGTGTAAACATCTTTAACCCACACTGCCCACACTGGAAAAATGAGAATATGTCACCGAGTGAGGTGCTGTAGTTAGTGAGAGGCTGGACAAGGTCCATGTTTTCTGCCTTTAAGGACTCTGCTTTCCATTCCCTTTCTTTAACTTAGGAAAGGATTGGAGCCAGGCCCACTTGGAGAAAGGAAGAGAGAGAGAGGGAGGGAGGGAGGAAAAGAGGGAGGGAAGAAGGAGGGAGGGGAGAGAGAGTCTACCTAGGCAGTCCTTTCTTTCCTGACCACCCTGCCCCCTAGTTGGGAGCCTTATTAGGGGATTTTATATTCTTCTTAGTTATTCTCAAAAATATGTTCATAATTATTAATGAGGTATAAATCTTACTACAAATATCTTATTTCAGTCAGACACCATTGGAGTGTGAACAAATTCATGCCCAACAATACCTCTATTAGATACTACTATTACTACTACTAACTATTATTATAATTAATTATAATAAAGAATGGTCCCAGACAAGCAAAAACTAAGTCAAGATGAGTGTTTTCCGAGTGGGAACAGAATGGTTTCCAAGCCCTCTATAAGATAACAACAGCATACAAACGTCAATGCCAGGTAAATTGATAAATGGTGATTGTATGCCTACTTACAAGGAACTGGAACGGTGCACTAAAGGGAAGCAATTTGGCTTGGTAAGAAAAACTCCCACTTCTGGGTTTTCACAAAGTGGGATGGTTCTCCTTCTGGCTTTGTGGGCTTGGACTAGTGACTGAACTTTTCCAGAGGACGGTTTCCTTAATTATTGAGTGGCAGCTTTTAGGGTTGTGGTCAGGTTAAGTGAGGTTCTGAGTGTGCAGGCCCTGCTGCTTGTAATCCTGGAAACATAATGAACTGTGCCAGCCACCTTGCTCTTATGTGGGGAGAAAGCCTTTCAGGCTTAAAAGTCACCAAACCACTTTTCTCTAAGTGCACTCCTTGGCTCAGGGGCTTTTATTTTGGCAGGCCTCTTTCTCTTATTCCTTCCTTGCCTTTTTTCCCTGCTCTCTAGTCATTTAAAATATACTCCCTGACATCCAAGATTTAAAAAAAAAAAAAAATAAAGGACATTTACAAATCCAAGTTCATATATTTCCAGAAAGTTCCTCAAGTTAGTCCCCAAATTCTAGGAAGGAATTGAAGAACAAGGATATCAAACAAGATTCCAGAGACACAATTCATGTCTCTCAGCCTTTAACTCGGTGTTTGCAGAAAGATATGCTAAAAGATGACAAGGCAAGCCTCCTTTATTTCTTAAACTCACCTTAGCAATAAAGTTTGCCTTTGGGCTTAAATCTCCAGAACATGCGTCACTGCATCCATAAAACAGTTTAAACCGGTCAATTCAAAGTGTTGAGTCTTGTGCTCATTCTCAGCAAAACACTGTGTGTGTGTGTGTGTGTATGTGTGTGGTGTGCAGAAAAATAAATAAATACATAAAAAGAAGAATTTTCCTCCAGGTGCAGTTCCAAGGTGGGATGTAGGTTCTGAATCTCCTGTTTAATGATCTTTTCACTGCTATTGTTTTCTTTTTGTGTTTTTCAGGTACTCCCCACTGGGTATTGCCTGCCTGATCTGTGGGAAGATCATTGCCATCAAGGACTTAGAAGTGGTTGCTAGGCAACTGGGAATGTACATGATCACAGTGATCGTGGGCCTCATCATCCACGGAGGCATCTTTCTCCCCTTGATTTACTTTGTAGTGACCAGGAAAAATCCATTCTCCTTTTTTGCTGGTATTTTCCAAGCCTGGATCACCGCCCTGGGAACAGCTTCCAGGTAGAGAGCAGGAGAAACTGCCCTTCTCCATGTTGGTTCTTTTGTTCTATTTGCCACTTCCGGTTTCTCCAGATCTTCCCTAAATTCAGTGAGAACACCTTTCGCATCATATGAAAATATTTTCGAGAAGGTTAACAGTTTGAACTTTTGGCTTGTCCTGGGCAATGCTGCAGCTTCTGGTTAGCCTTGTGGCTGATCAGCAGCTGGACTAGAAACATAACTTCAAAGTAAATGTTCAGATAGCCTCACTGTGTGAATTTGCATGCCTAACATGAAATCTGAAGCATTAATGTAATCAGAGGTTGTAGCATGATAATGTCATTCACTTAACATACCACCTATAATTTTAGAAAGTATTATTAATTTTTTTAAAAAAAAAACTCTTGAGGTTTTTGCCAATAATTTTTTAAAAGAATCAACTTACTTTGAAAAAAGATGTTTCTATTTTTATGTTATGTGTATGTGTGAGTGACTGCATATATGTATGGGTTCATACGTGCCTGAAGCCCTCCAAGGCCAGCAGAGGGATTTTTAAGTAGTTGTGTGTTGTCTGATGTCGGTGCTGAGAACTGAATCCCCAGGACCTTTGCATACTACTGAGCTCTCTCGCCAGCACCAGAAAAAACAATTCTTACAAGGTAAATGGTGATTTTTCTTTTCCCCCAACAAGCAGAAACTAGATAATTTGTTGACTTTAGGACAAACCTCTTAACAGACCAATTCTACCCTAAATTTATCCCCACAAAGCCAGCTTAAATGATGTAACCTTGATAGAAAATCAGGTCCTGCTTCATTATCTATATTTCCAGTTCCTAGGAGATCAATAAAGACCTCAAATATAGGCGACAAAAAATAATTTTTTGAATATAATCTTGGACCAATGTTAGCCAAAACACAACAAAACAAGTTAATAAACAAAAACATCTAGAATTGTAGAATTTCAAAGACTGGAAGTTTTACTCTTCCGGATTAAAATCAGTGTTTTACTTCTGATATCTGTCTTTGCACCACAAAACTGAACCCAAGATTATGAAACAGGCAACCAGGAGCTTAGCAAATGCTAAAACCCACAATGGAAGGCCATCAGGTCCACCTTGTCCTGTTAGTGAGGTCCCCACTCAGTGACACAGCATGGCTGGAGGATCCAAGGGCTCTGCTCAGGCAGTCAAAGTCACCTCATGTGACCCAACAGCCACCTGGGAAAGCAAATTGTATCTGCATATTGCAAGCCAGGAGAATTCAGTATAGAATGTGAGCTTTCAGAAAAGGCTGAGATGTACAATACAGGGGACCAGATTCTGCATCCTGATTACTGAGATGAAGGGAAACACGTCAGAATTTCCATTTTACTTCCTTATACTTTAAATTCTCTGTAGATAAAGATCTGTGTCCATGAAAATGCTTCTCTTCAGAGAAAAGGGAAACCACCCCCCCAATAAAAACTTTTATTTTTGTTATTTGATCAAATTTGGTATGTGACAAAGTTCAGACAGAGAGTAAAATTTCGAGGAAGACAATGAACCTCACAAGTATTTCTTTAGCTAATAACAGTATACAATAACCTTGTAGTTAATGTTTATACTTATAAATCTTTCTTTTTTTTTTTTAACTATGTCTAAATGCTGCTCTAGAAACTTCTAATTTTTTCCCATGGGTCAAGATATCATGAAAATCTTACCTATTAATATAGATCTTTGCTACTATTTTTGTGATCTTCATTATAGTATACAGCATATTAAAAATGCTGGAGAGATAGTTTAGCAGTTAACAGTGCTTGCTACTATTGCAAAAGACCTGGGTTTGGTCTTTTGCAGCTCACAGCCACCTGTAACTCCAGTTCCAGGGGATTCAACACCCTCTTTGGCTTCCCTAGGTACCAGACATGCACATACATACTTGTTGACAACACATAGTAAAACACATAATACAGTGAGATAGTAATATACTGTAATGTATTGTACTCTCTGTGCAGAGGTGTAATTCTAAAGCATGCCTATTAAACAGGGCTCTGACAAACATCTCTATCAGGCTCCCCGATGATCTTCTCAGTATGCATTCTAGATTTGGACTTGCTGAGTCAAGGAGTGCAAACTGATAGTTTTGAAATGCATCACCAGTTAACATTTCAGAAAGTCCAGAATTTAATGTTGCCACCAATGTATTTGAGAGTGTCTTTCCCCACCCACTCACCAGAGCTGGATATTCCGAATCTGTGTTGCTTTGATGCATCCCCGATCTCATTGGTGGGGAAAATACTCAGCAAATTTGCATGTATTTGATTACAGATGAAGGAAAACATCTTTTTATGTCTTATTGCCTTGTCCTCCCCATTCCTTGCCTCTTGAGTCATGTGTGAGCCAGCTCATTTTCCTTTGTGGGTACTCACCCTTCCCTGGATAGTTTTCAAGCTCACTTTATGCATATAAATTATTAACTCTTACATCACTTGCTACAAATAAGAAGCCCCCATACTATACATTTGTCTTGAAAATAAATAATGGTGGTGGACACTGGAAGTTGTTTATTTATATATATTCAAAGCTGTGAGTACTCCTTTCTACTGAGAAATTTAGTTTTGCTAAAATATTTCCCTATACATAATTATAACATAATGCTTTAAAATTTTCTAGTGCTCTTGTGAATACATCATTAAGATATTTCAAAAATTATTATTATTACTCTTTTGCATGGTCAGACCATCATCCTAGTAGCTTTAAAAGACCAGACAAATCCTAAATAGATATTGTGGGTATATCCTGGCATTTAAATCAAACTCAAATGGTTGAGTTACCTAAGTAAAACCTCAAATGTTAGACCCATTTCCTCCCCCGCTATTCGTGGCTTTTGCCTGGATGCGAAGTTTCCTTTTCCTAAAAGGCAATGGGTAAGACTCACATTCCAAGAACTGAGTCATTGTTTCTCTGCCATAATGGTACAAGAGAAAAATATCCAATGTTCAGGAACAACCCATTAAATACTGCTGTGTCTCATTGTACTGAAAGAGGACTCTGGCTAATTACATTTCACATCACTGTAACTAAACAACCTAAGGAAGAAAGGTTTGTGTTGGCTCAAGGTTTAAGGAGACACCGCCCATTGTGGTGGGGAAGAGATGGATAGTGGAACAGGTCTGTTCATGACAGCACGAGTTCATGATATTGCCTTCTCATGGTGCTGATCAGAAAGCAGAGCTGGGGCCAGAAATAGAGCGAAGGCTAAAAGCCTCAAGGTCCATCCAACTGTCATATATCCACTTTAGCCTTACCTCCCAAATGTTCCGAACCATCCCAAACAGGGCCACAATACCAACCATGCAAAACTGAGAATGGCTGAGTGGTTCTTCTTGATGGACACAGAGGCTGGTATCAAAGAGGAATATGTCCCAGATCTCTGCCATCAATGCATGCCATTAATCATAGGAAGAATATCAGGTATTGGACATTGTTATTAGCAACGTCCTAGGGCCTCTCAGATGGGAGCCAAAAAGCAGTGCCAGAGTGACAGTCTGTCAGCACAGGAAGTCACTGGAGTTCTCAAGTCCTAGTTTGGATTAGCTGAATGTATGTGGATTTGGAGGATGGAAATATAAAGCCTGCTCAGTAGAAGAAGAGGGACTGTTTCCATGATTCACAACCCATTCCCCAAGTCTCCCTGTCCAAAGACTTCTTGATGATATTTTGGAGAAAATGGATACAACAAGAAAAAGTAATATATTTAAGTGACTCCAGAAGTATACTTTGAGCCATATGGTTGAGAATCCCACTACCAAAAATGAATGAGTAGCCATGTTAGATCAGCTATGGTATCTAGGAAACCCTTTGGAATAGTCCCAAGAGATGCAGAGAAGGCATAAGAGTAGTAAAAGGACACCAACTTGTAATGAAAACAGCTGAGGCAGCAATCCAGGAACATGGCATTTCCTGCGTGCAAATGAGAACAGAGCTTCAGTTTTTACTTGGGCTTATAAGGCATTTGTAAATGAGACACATCCACTCCTGGCCCAATTAATTGACTTATTTTACCCTAAGACCAGCAGGAAGCGTTTCAGAGCCCTGACCTGTAATCACAAAGGATGTTCTGTCTGGTTTCAGATGTGGACTTGAGTGTCTCTTATTTTATAGCTTTCAGATTTATTGCTCCAGAGTAGGTACTGGAACCTGCACATCCCCAAGCTGACCTTTTCTCCCACTGAGAAACTGAGACCTTTGTGAACTTGTCCAGTCTTGTTGAGGGCCCGGTTGTAACTAGTGGGAGGGGATAACTCTGACTAAGTCTTGGAAGTACCTCCAAATTCTGCCTGCACTGGAAATCTTCCAATTCTCTTAAACAGGACAAAAGTAATCAAAGCAGGACAAACCACAAACCAATCCCATGCTGTTTGGCTCTTTTGCTTGATTTCAACATTATTTAAACTTTGAATAAGTCCACCCAATTTCCTTTGCATTACTGTCTAAAAGGGTGTAATATTCTGGCTATGAGGAAGCCTTGTTCTCTTAGGAGTTCTATTTTAGAAGATGTAGGAGCATGCCAAATATTCTAGCCTGTGATTGGATCACCAGCTCATACTTGGGAGGAGAGTGAAGCCCCTCTTCTCTGCTTTTTAGCTATAGATCCCATGATTTCCTGCCCTGTCATTGTAGAGACTTAGGACTGGCTGTTGGCCATGTCTCTGGGAGTTTGACTGTATGTGAAGCTCCCCAGTGGATTGTTCAAAGCTTGGGTTCCTGATGAAGGGTGTACAACATGTTTGTCCAGCATTTTCCAAATTAGTAAGCCCAACTCAGTACAATTCCCAGGGGCCTGATGCAGTCCAGGCAGTCATTTTGTTGGAACAATATTTCTGGCATGAAATTATGGGTCATTCAAAAATTCCTCATTCTGCTTTGCTGTTGACAGCTGATTGCTTTCTGACATAATTCTTTTGCAGCCCAATTCATGTGCACAATCAGATGTGCTTCAAGATTTATCCTAAGATGGAAACAGGAACTGAAGGAGAGAGGACTTGGCAGGCACTGAGTAGATCTGAGAAACCAGAACCAACTAAATATTTTGTTGCCCATCAGCAGCCTAATAAGATTGCATTTAAACTCCCAATGCATTTAAAAAAAATGTTTCTAGTTACTATTTTTTGCATGTCACATTGATTAGAAAAAGAACAAAAATTTGTAGTGTCATTCTTGTTTTTGCTTTGTCCTGCTTCTAAACTGCCTCTAAAATAGAGTCTCCCTCCCTCCCCCCCTCCTTCTCCCTCTCTCTCTTTCTCTTTCTCTCTCTCTCTCTCTCTCCCAGTGCTGGAACTTTGCCTGTTACCTTCCGCTGCTTGGAAGACAATCTAGGGATTGATAAGCGTGTGACGAGGTTTGTCCTTCCGGTTGGAGCAACCATTAACATGGATGGTACAGCCCTTTACGAAGCCGTGGCCGCCATCTTCATAGCCCAAATGAATGGTGTCATCCTGGATGGAGGGCAGATTGTGACTGTAAGGTGAGCAAAGTGCATGCAGAAGAAATGGAGAAACATACATCTTCCTTGTTGTCACTGCATATTAGCGTCACTTGATGGAAGCCGCTTTAGTCTCAGCTCTAGTGAGACACAGTGAAAGAATTACTGGCAAACTTCAAAGGGAAAAGATGGTGACAGGGATGGAAGAGGCTGGTGGTATATTGCACATGCCTACTCACATCAGGGCCCAGATATGATTTGAGCAGTTATTTGTATACTCATTCAACATACAAAGAAAATCGGGCTTGGAAGTATAGTGGCTTGTCCAAGGCTATACCACTAGTCACGAGCTAGCATGGGTATGGCTGGGGTGACATTTACTAATTCTGGGTCCAATTATTCTGTTGTTAAAATATGTTCCTTTCTGGGTAGATGAGCTAGCTCAGTGAATAAAGGCCTTTGCCACCAGACTTCAAACCTCAGGCCTCACGTAATGGAAAGAGACAACCAACTCCTTTAAGTTGTCCTCTGATCTCCAGACATGTACTGTTTGCACACATAAACATGCAAAATTCATATTTAAAATATGCTCTTTTCAATGTTTCAAGGCATGATGGTAGGCATGATGAACTACGAAGATTCTTTAGTATGACATAGAACATTTTGATGTAAATAAGTAGCACACAGGTGTGCTCTCACTAATGCTTTTATTTACTATCTGCTTTTACTATTGTTTTAACACTGAGAACATTGTCTCGAGAGGTCATCTAAAATGTGTTGCTTCTCTATTAACCCTGATTTTATTTGTAAGTATTGTCAATGAGAGCTTCAGTCTTCAAATCGTTCAGTGTTGTGCTATCATTTTAGTGAAGTCATTTTAGAGTTATTACTTCTACTCTGACTAGGAGCTTCTGTTAAATTAGAAGGCAGTTTCTGGCTCTAGTTAAAGTAGAAAACACAACAAAAAGCCAGTGAACTACCTCCTGCTCCCACTTATGTCCCACTCCCAGTCAAAGTGTCTGGATGTCCTCGTCTACAAAAGAGAAAGGCATTCAGACTTGAGGGCTGTGAATTGGCAGTTGGTGGGCTGAAGCCAGCTTGGAGCCTTGCTGTTTGCTTTGTAATGTGCTATAAAATAATTACAATGTTAGTGTCTTTTAAGACAGGTGTTTCCCATATACTGGATGTCCCTGCTCCTCACCACCCAGACCTAGTCTTGTCACCTACCACCACTGCCTGTCCCTTTAAAATGTCTAACGTTATTCCTTTGGGATGCTGTGAATTGTGTTCCCTTTCTCAGATTCTGTGAGATTGGCAAATACAAAGGAGATGTGGATCACATTCTGTGTAATCAGTGTGCCTGCAGACAAAAGAAAATCCAAAGAACTGTAATAACCACAGCCCCACTGATTCATTCTGAGAAAAGATTAGATTGACATGGAAATAGTTTTCAGCTTCTAAGATGAGGACAACTCTAGCCTTGTGCCCCTGGGGTGGTATCCTTCATCTCACCTCAGACATCCCCAGTGATCTAAAAAGGAAGGATGGCCTTTCTCCCCATTTCACAGGACAGTAACACAAGGCTAAGGGTGTTTATATGAAACCTTACTTTCAGGGTATGGATGTCATAGGCAGGAGTCACATGTTGACTCCTTAGGTAACCACTTTCCAATCCCTACTCCTTTTCCTTTGTGATTCTAACTCAGAGGAAACTGTTAGAATAATGATTGTGCTGGTCTTGTCTCCATTGCACATGAAGAAGAGGCCATATCCTCTGTGTCTAGATTCCTGTAGTGGGCTTTCCTCCCTTTAAACCCTTACAAGGTCTCCTCTACTTCAGAAATTCTGGTGAAGGCTGGTGTCTGTTTGGCCTACAGTTCATTCTCTAGGAGACTTTTGATGGTCTTAGGATTGCTTTAGGTGCTGCTCATAACGGGGGAGGAGAATGGGGGGGGGAGTTCATTTGTATCTGATTTCTCTATGTGCTGAGGTTATTGAACTCAGGCATTGGAAATTGGAATTCTCAGTGTTTTGTGGGTTGACAGCCCAAAAGAGCTGCCACTGCGGGGCCATGACTCATTTGTCTATCTGGGAGCCTTTTAGCCAACTAGGAGCTATTTTTTGTTGAGTTACCAGTTCCTTTAATTTCCTAATAGCCATTCCAGAAGATTTTAATGAACATTCCATACACACCAAAGCTTGGCTGAACAGCTAAGTAAGAAAACAACGAAAATAAAACCTTGCCAGGTTTAACATACAATTTGGAAATATAAATTAATGCCTTGTGAAGTCATCTCATCTGGCAGATGTAGAACCTGAGAGACTCTAGCTCTCTCAGAGAGAGAGATTCAAGTTCCCAAATGTGGATATATTCTGTTTACTGAAGATCTTAATTGGTGGCCTTTGAAGCAGCTTTAGAAAATGGGTAATGGGCTTTGTATATCTCAGTTGGTGAAGGTAAACCACAAAGAAAGAAATAAAAACAAGCAAACAAACAAACAAAAAAAAACTTCCCAAGATCATGTCTATAGACATGTCTATATACTTATAAGTGGTGAAGTAGGATTTGAACCCAGGCAACCTAAATGTGGGTCACACCGCATCTGCTATAATTGGATATATACTTTTGGGCTGCCTTTGTATGTTGATTTATCTGACATTTACAAACACCTTGTGTTGTATATACTAGAGTAGAACCTCCATCTCCTCATCTATACCATGAAGGCAGGAATCACAGAATCAGGGTGGTTCAGAGAACATCATCATATCAGTATCAATTGATATCAATATCAATAGATGGGAGTTATTGAAATTGTTACTATCAATGGCAATCAATAAAGTAAAAGCATAGTCCTATAAAGGTGGCTACAACACAATGAGTACCACAAATTAATCACAATGGGAAGCTTACTTCAAATCAGAGTATCAAACATGAATGAGTCTTGTCCTTGTCCTAACAGATATCATACCTGACTTCCAACTTCCCATGCTTAAAAACTTATAGGTGAAAGAGCTTGCATTAATGAAGCCTTTGGTCAAGCAATGATGGCTTCATGTTCTTTCATTCTTGGCCTTGCCAGCAACCAGACTTGCCTTCCAGTGCATGCTGTGGGATTAAAATTAGAGCAGTGACTAAGTGATTGGGATTTTACTGGCATTACATCATTTTATCTATGTGGGATTTACCTTATATTAACAATGCTACTGTTGGGAAATTTCACTGAGCAAAGGATAAGGTTGTCCATATATATTTAAATCTTGGCCTCTGGGCAAGTTTAGCCAAATCCTCTTTAATTGCAGACATCTGAAGGTCTGCCTCTACAGGCTCCCACATGGCATATGTTCAGTTCTCTGCCTGTACTGTATCTGGGGGGGGGGTGAGGGTGGAATAGAATAGCCAAGTCTAGCTTTATCTTGTGCTGTTATGTAAATTCTTCGTCTTGTCTTCTACCTCATGTAGAAGACCTCCCAGGGTCATCAAGAGCCAGCATGTAGCAGAACCAAGCACAGGGATGTTCAAATCTCAGAGGACCACGTTGAATCTGAGTGACCCTAAGTTGCCTAATCCATCCAATCCCTGGTTATTGTCTTATGGTGAAAGAACATGTTTGTGTACCTTGCATAGTTATTGTGAGGTTCTGTACATAGAACTTGGCACAGCCTCCAGGAACTTGCCTCTGTAGAAGCCAGCCAGGGGAATGCAATATCATACAAAGCAGAATAGGTCGAAGGACTAGGGACAGGTTAAGGATTCTCTAGAAAACACTGTCGGTAGGAGGGTAAAGCTACTGTTAAGATTTAACTCCCAATAAGAATTTTTGTACTTACAGGATTTTGTCTCACAGAACCACAAACGAGTCAGATCAAAATGGACACAGTGCTTGTTAAGAGTGACTCATGACCAAAGCAGCTGCTGTAGATCAAACAATCAAGGCCAAGGATGACTGGAACCTGGGAATCCCCTCTTCCCTTCTGTTCCATCCATACTGGGGAAGGGCTGAGGATTCCCAGCTGTCTGGTACTTTAGGGAAGTTTCACTCCCACAACTGTTCACCTTTGTCACTGAGTTCTTGATAAAAATGGCATTTTCTTAAGCTAGGAGGTTTTAATGTGCCCAGCCTCTCTTAAGTGCCTTTCTACTCATTGGTTCCTGGAAGGTGCTGGTCACTGCATGAGATATCCTCATTACTCCTTTGCACAGACAAGGGAGTCAAGGTACAAAGAGATGCAGTTGCCCCAAGTCATGTGATTGACAAGTGGTGGAGCTAGGATTTGAAATGGGTTGTTTACGTTTCTGAAGTTACTACACACTATTTGCTGTCTCAAATGAATTCTATCATGCAGTTCTCTAAAACCCAACAGCAATTTCATGCTTGCATGACAAGGAAAGGGGACAGGTGTATTCTGTAGTTCACACCTAGGTGGACATCTATAAAATACTTGAAAAGGGAGACAAAATGAAACAAATAAACAACCCACTGAAGCTCCTTTCCTTCAAGTCCCTGTCAGCTACATGTCTTGGGATTCCAGTCAGGAGTCACACTGATGGTATGACTTGAGTAGAAACTTCTGAGAGCCTGGAGTTGGTGCCTGAGTAACTGCTCTAGAAAATTTTAATGTCTCATCTACAAAGCAAACAGCCCCTGTTTTATTCAGCCCTTACAAAATTACATTGGGGAGACTCATTTTAAGAAGCATCATTCTATTTAAGTGACAGATCCAGGTCTGAGGTGGAGATGGCTTGCTTACCAAACACAGGGACCTGAGTTTGATCCCAAAACCCACACAAAAGTGCCAGGCATGGTGGCAAGTGTGTTTAATCCTAATACTGGAGAGTGGAAGACAGGCAGACACCAGGGACAAAGCGGCTAGCTGGTGAGTTCTAAGCCAACAAGAAACCCTGCCTCAAAGTGGATGCTGTACCTGACGATGACATCCAAGATTGTCCTCTGACCTGTTAGTATGCACATATACATACTAACATGTGCACCTACACACACACACACACACACACAAACACACACACACACACTATTAAAAAGGAAAAAGAAATGACTGATTCTATAAAAACAACATGTACAAGGATTAAACAGTCACTGTAGGTTGGTGAGCCTCAAGAACCCTCTGGCATGAAGACAGGACACTTGAACCTAAGATTGACCTTTGAACCATGGGGAGAGTTGAAAATGGTGCCAGGTGTGCTGCTGATGTTGCTTGAAGCATTTGATGAAAAGTGCAGAAACTTCCTTTCATTCCATTATCTTTTCATAGCACCCTCTCTGAATAATATGTTTTCCAGGCTTAGGAGCAATGTCCAAGCAAGTGAAACCGAATATCTCCTGGAATTATGTTGATTGCTTTCCCTGATGTCCATTCATTTGGTCCTGGATATTTTCTATCAGTTCTCATGTTAACATTGGCAGCAACCTCCTTAGACTCTTGCCACATAGTCCAAAGAACTGTGGCAGTCACAGACACATGGAGGCATAAACAGAAACAAATACAGTTGTGTTCCCACAGGAGGGTGGTTTATTTCTTCATCTTTAATATTTCCATGCCTGCTTTTAGAACTTCAACTGCCTTCGTATTGTGTACATTAGGCTAATTGGGTATCATGATGGGGATAGGACTCCAATTCATGAATTTGTGTACTTCGATTATTGTTGAGCTCAGTTCTTGGATATTAGTATTTCACATTTCTTTATTCTCTGGAGAAAGAGAGGAAGAGATTTTTTTTTTAATGGCCATACCAATTTTGGAAGGTTTTTTTTTCCTTATCTCTAAGATTGTCAAAATAAGTTTGCCAAGACTCTTTCTCTTATGTGACCTGGCCTTCTCTGTCCTTGTAGCCTCACAGCCACCCTGGCGAGCATTGGTGCAGCCAGTATTCCCAGCGCCGGATTGGTCACCATGCTCCTCATTCTAACAGCCGTGGGCCTGCCGACAGAGGATATCAGTCTGCTGGTGGCGGTGGACTGGCTCTTGTAAGTGTTTGTGGGCTGGGTTCTTCTGGGGATTGTGAGAGTGGCCCTGCAGGAGTAGACAGGTGACAAGATTGCAATAAGACAATCTCCCTTGGCAATTTCATGTGTTCTTCCTCTCCCCTACCCAATAAAAAGCTACTATGTGTACTCAGAATTAAAAAAGTACAAAGAATTAAAAATGTGAGGGCCTTGTAGTGATGTGGTGCAGTCAGATTAATCACAATACAAGGATTAAACATAGGAATGAGAGAAGCTTGAGTTAGCTCTGCTCAGTTGGCAGAATGTGTGCCTAGCTTCTACTTTTAGTACTGCATAAAACTAAACAGCATGGTTCATGGATGCAGTCCCAGCACTGGGCAAGCACAGCTGGATGATCAGGAATTCAAGATCATCCTTGGCTACACAGTAACCTTGAGGCTAGCCTGGGCTATGTGAGACCCTGCGTCCATAAGGAAGTGTAGCAGTGATGATCCAACTAATGATATATGCAAAGAATCTCAAAACATTCTCCTGAGTAGTGGAGCCAGGGGAAGGCACTATAAGCCATAGCCATAAAAAGGGATAAGTGGTTCCCTGGCATAAGGAAACTGTGAGGAATGATAGAAATGTCCCACATTCACAGGTATTTATATTTGTCACAGCTGGTCAGACTATGTGCTTAAATAAGTGGGTACATTTCCATGTACATAAATTACAATTAAATAAAACATAACTTAAGATTGTACAGTTAACAGCACAATGATGGAAAGTGTTATCTGTGTCAGTCTAAGATGGAAGGGCAAAATGGGGAACCAACGGAAAACAGTAGAAGTGGTTGCTGAATCTCGGTGCTCACTGTGTGCGAGCTCCTGTAGCTGGCTGTAACACTCTCCAGGGTCTGCTTTTATCATTGCCATATTGTGGGTCAGAAGCCTGAGGCATGGACTCAGGAATGGATAGAGATTTAACCTGAGGCTTGCCCAGTCCTGGAGCCCTTCACGTTTTTGTTCATGGTCAGATTCAAGTTCCTGAATGCAGAGATAGCTATGCACAGCCATAACTGACAAGAAGCCAGAGACACTTGGGTGGAAGAGAAACAGGACATTGCTATTAAAGCCATCTGTGCAAAGGCACTGGGGCTACAAACAATGCAGAGACCTAAGTGATGGAAGGTGAGGTAAGATGGACAACATTCTTCTAGGACTTGTATGAAGGATTGAATCTGACCGTGTGTTTAGCCTGATTGCATTTCTCAGTGAAGACATCTTACTAGTGTCCCACTTATAAATGTGGACAAGCCAGGCTAGATCATCCCCAAGCATGGAGGATGTAATAGAACCTTTCTAACAGCCTTAAGGACACGGCTGTTCTTTCAAAATCATACAAATGTATCATGTCCACTCTTGCAGTTAAGTGATAAAGTGCTGGACAGTGTCACTGGCCTTAATGTGAGAGGTGCACTATGACAAGTGTTGGCAGAGATGGGGAACCAAAATGCCTGCCTTTCCTTTTCAGACTTCAGAATGAAGACGGCACATTGTATGGACTTAAGTTTGTATATCCTTCATACTCAAAATATTCCAGAAATGCAAAACCTAAAGAACATGGGGGAAGGCTAGGAAGAATCCTTGTCTCTTCATATTTGTGCCCGGTGTTGGTGTGGACAGTAGGGACATAATCATTTTAATCCCACCGGACTTTTGGGAAGCCACAGCACTTCCTGGCTGGCTCTTTCAGATCAGAGATATGTTGTAGAGATGGCTTGATGAAGACCTCATGCCTGTCCCTGCCAGCATCTCACATCCTGGTGGAGGGCCCTTCTCTGACAACTTCCTTTTGATCTATGCCCTGTGTTGGCATCAACATGCTATGGCATCTAGTCAGGGGAGGCAGCTGTGAGTCAGTGGTGGCACAGGGTGAGAAGAAGGCAGTAAAATAAAGGAGACAAAGGGTGAGGTAAGATACAGATAAGAAAAAGGACCAAGGGGAAAAGAAGACATTGTTAGTGTTTGGGGACAAAGGATATAGTCAGCTAACCACAACCACACAAAAAGTGAAAAAGGAAGCTATTCAAGTTCTGCCCCCGGTTCCCCTGTTAACTTGCTGCTTTCATTCTCTTCCAGCTTTTTGCCTCTTGAGCCTCCTCAGTTTCTGCTGTGGAGTTGCGTCCCTTGTCTGCTGCAACTCCACTCCCTCATCTCTTTTTTAATTTTTTTGCTGAACCTGAAATCCACCATTAGAATTTATCTTTTCTAGGTCTCATGAATATCTCACTTACTATGTATGCAAGGCTGACAACTCAAGTTCTATCCCTAGAACCCATGGAAATTGGACGTAGAGAACCAATTTTACAAAGTGGTCCTCTGTCTTCAGCATACACTTTGTTCTGGCTCTCTCTCTCTCTCTCTCTCTCTCTTTCTCTCTCTCTCTCTCTCTCTCTGTTCTGACTCTCTCTCTCTCTCAAAAATTATAAGCTGATCATAACAATGTGAACTGTAACCCCAGCAGACAGGGAGTCAGAGACAGGCAGATTTGTGACTGAACAGCCTAGTCAAATCAGTGAGTTCCAGGCTAGAGAGAGGCAAGAAACCCTGTCTCATATATGTGCACACAAATGTACACACAAAGGGTTTCATCTTTTAAGCATTCGTGCTGGTAGAGCCATCCTCTCATTGTATGCCAGAGCCTCTAAATGGCAAGTGTGCAGTCATGTTATCAAGAGTGAGGGAAAGACACATGTGTGGCAGGTACTTCAGCATCATTTCATGTATTTTTCATTTACCCATTGGAGAGCTCTATGGTGGGTGTCTTAGAAGAGGAAACAATTAGAAGAGTCAGTATGTTGCAGAGATACAGTAGAGTTAGCATGACCAGGACAGGACCCTTCAGATGACTCTGTTGTTTCTTAATTGTCACCACAAAGTCTATCAGTGGAGAAGGGGACAGAAAGTTCCAAAGTTGGAAAACTTGGGGAAGAAGGACCTCCTAGGGTGTCCTCTGAGGGTTTCATTGTTTGTTCCCTTAAAAACTCACATTGAAATCACTTTCATTTTAACAGAATTAACAGAATGGCTTGCTCCAGGAAGAGTGGTACTGATGTCACCATACATGAGTTCAGACCCTTCTTTCTCTCTTTGTCCTGTTACCTTCTAGCATGTGATGGCATGGGAGCTTGGGCACACCAGATTCTGGAGCCTTCATCTAAGACTTTTCAGCCTCTGTAACTCTAAGGAAAATCAACTTCTATTTCTTTAAAGATTTCCAAATTTCAAGTATTTTGTTATAGTACTACAAATGGACAAAGACATTCTTGATTCTATGTACTAACAACTAAGAACTTTCTTGTTTGAGATGTTTCCTCCCCTCCCCCATGGTTATGATATAACCAGCAACATAATGAAGTAGGACGATGAAGTAAGATCAAGGCCTTAGCTCCTCTTAAAATTCAAGTTCTCTAGCCCCAGCAAGTCTCCCACTGTGAGCCCTGGAGTTCTTGGCAGTCTCCTGTTGGATAAGAGTCATTTCATGAAATATTCAAGACCCCACCTATGTCTGACCTAAATGTTAGCAAATGGAATAGGAGGGGTGGATCTCTCTGATCACCCCATGCAGGTGCCCACATGCTCATACTTGTGTGGGAGGCTGTGGTGTCCTAACTATATGCCTGCAGTGTGCTAGCAGGAAGAAGTTGGCTGAACACCAACAAAAAAATGATGATCCGTCTGGATTAATGTCCTTAATGGAATCATGAAGGAAGGAAAGAAAGAGGACGAGAAAGGAAGGAAGGAAGGAAGCTGTCCCAAGCTAGAACAGGAAAGAAGAGCACCAATGCACCAATGGAAAGTTTTTTCTAGTTCTAAGGCTCTGATCTCAGAGGGGCTGAGGCCATGTGGTCAAGAAGGAAATCAGGAGGAAGCATGGAGGATCTCGGGGAGATGGGCATCAGAGTTGGGTTACATCTGCTTTCTAGCAGTACTGGTGCCACATTCTTTCCTAACAGAGAGCATTCTGGAAGCAAGTACCCGAGCTTGATAAGCTCCATGGCTCTGGATGCTGCTCACTGGTGTGTATGGTGTGTAAGTGGGGCTGGGGGCTGGATTGGGATAGGGGTACAAGGAGAAGTTGTCTGGTCCTTAGAAAGGTAGTTGATGGAGGAAGAGCAGAGAGAAAAACAGACAACCAGATACTGGTAAGTGTTTTCTTCTTTGGCAAAGTCTGTAACTTTTTTTATACTGCCAGCAATTTTTTTAATTTAAAAATGAATAGAGCTTGCAGTGACATTTAATGTGTCACAGTGTTTGCCAATTGCTGGAGACTATCCAGCCTCATTACAGTCCTCTAAGCCCTAGATGTTTGTCTGTGGGCAAGCTTAGCTGCTCTGTAAATATGGTGAAAACCAAGGTTCTAGAGAACTTCAACATGTCCAAGTCCTGAAGTATGAAAAAGGCAGGCCTGGTTAATACTTGAAGCATCCTCTGGACATAAGAAACCCTTTGTCTCAAAACTCAGATATTTATAAGAAACTATGGGAGGATCATGAGGAGGAGAGATAAAGGGAAAACTGGGATTCAGTACCAAAATCAATTCCTGGGCCTGGCAAGAGCTAGAAAGGAAAAGCCACATACAGTGATACCAGCATGGACATGCTCTGTTGGGGGATATTTTCTGGACTCATGTCTGTTAAGTAAGGGTAGGTGTTATTGAGAAATATCTAAAAAGGATACCCAAAATAGTCTCCACCCTGTGGGACACTCTATGTGTTAGTACCCTTTTCTGGAGGGACTAGGGCTCTCCTCAAACAGAGTCTGGACCTAATCTGATGTAGGATGGAGTCTAAGAACTGACATGTCTACCAAGTTCCCAGGTGGTGCTGATAATGGGATCCAGGGATCTCACTTCTGGGAAAATGAATTAGAGTAGGGAGGGAGTTTCTGATCAGCCAGGGTCTTGCTGACTGTGGGTGCCTAAACTCTCTATATTGAATAACTGTTGAGCGTATATGCATGCATTCAACAAAATTA